GGGTTGCTTTTATGCTTGTTTCCCCTGCAACAGTGTCTAGCTCTGATTTTGGAAGCCTAGTAGGTTTGCAAACTTCTGCAAGGTACCTGGTTTGGTGATGCCCACACCTCTGAAGCCCACAGACCACGTTCAGCAGTGTCCCTCCTGGGGCAAAGCATCACTGCTGCCCCCATTGAAATAGAGGTTACTGACCTAGTGTGGTGCACAGGTGTGTTTCTATTAGAGCTGGGACACAAGCTCCAGAAGTCTAATACTGGATTAGGGCATCACAGCTCAACAGTGATGATGCACCTCTAGGCACTGATGTCATCAGACATGAAAACAAAATGATATCTAACAGCACGCTCAGCACAGCCATCTCTAGCCACCCCTGCAGAGCTCTGACTCCATTAATCCCTATTTTGGAGCTGTCTGGGTGCTCTCCTTGGGGGATTCGGAGAAGAGGGAGATGCACATGGGCTCTGTGGGATCTGATGCAGCTCCTCCCCATCCCAGGAGGGAAATGGCAGCAGCTCAAAGGCCCAGAAATACCTGGGGCTTGCTCTACACTGCATCAGTGGGAGACAGCCCACAACTCCTGGGGGTGATCAGAGCAAGCCTGGTGTTTTTCCCCAGAAAGCCAAACTTTGTTCTAACGCAATGCTCTGATCCCCTCCTCGGTGTCCTGAAAGCCCCACAGGCCCCCACGCTGAGCCCATCAGGTGGAATTACTTAATCCACCCCTGATGAGCGACACCCGCACCCTGGAGCTGGTCCCTTCCCTCTAATCCCTCGTTACCATCAGCCGCTTTAGCACGCACGGGGCAAAACAAGCCCCACGTGAGCAGCTGGTGCCTTCTCCATCGTCCCGCCACCGCTTTGGCACCCGAGCGCAACTGCCCCGTTACCTTTTTCCCGTGAGCTGCCCCCATGGTCTGACGTGTTGGCTGTGCCCTGCTCAGCCCGGGTGTGGGACCGGCCGGTTCCCTGTGCTCACGGGCCCCGTTACTCCCGGGGGGCTGTGCAGCCGTGCAGCTCCCAGCACCTCGGTGGCCGCTGCGGGAAGACACGAGTGAGATCCAGCCTGTCTGCAGTGGGGCCGGGCGGGAAAGCTTTCTTTTCCTCTCTTCTCCCAGCACGTGGAGAACTCATTTTCTTCATGCACCTAACGGCTGGCTCGCACCCAGGCTCTGCCTGGGCACAAAGGCAGCTTTCATGCTGCTGATGCCCGGTTTCTCAGCTGGGATCCGTATTTTGAGAGGCTGTGGAAGATTACAGTAATTGCACTTGACAGGGCAAGATGTCACAGGACGCGGATTCGTCCGGCTGTGGGGCCCCAGCACCCATCGATCCTTGCCTGTGGCATCCTTCCTAGCTGCTGCTTTGGTGCTTTGCTGAAATAAATCCATACCCCCCAAATAAGGCAGGATTATCCCTCCGTTACCCGCCTGCTTTCTGGTTCTTGGCTGTTGTTGTGGCACTGGATTTTGCAAACTTTGCTCTTGTGAATCCCCCAGGCTGCCTGGTTGCTGCTGGAGCCCACTGCGGCCCCCAGGTGAGCCCAGGTTACCTGGAGCTGCACCCTGAGAGACAGGGCAGGTGAGTGTTTATGTTTGCTGAAGTCTCTGGGGGATATTACACAGTGAAAACCAACCAAATAGCTGCCCGTCTCTGCAGTAATATAGCTTTTAAAATGCCAAGGCACAAAACCCCCTCATTTGGGGGTTGCTGTCCCTTCACTCACCACCCTTGTTAAAAAAATAGGCAAGTTAATTTTGATTCCTCAAGCCATATTTATAGCCCTGCCTCCAAATTCAGGACTTTTGAAAAGGTCAGATTTATTTCTTGGGACATGGTGACTTCTACAGGAATGGTTCTTCAAAACACTGATTATTAAGGTCGACCGGCCGGTTCCCTGTGCTCACGGGCCCCGTTACTCCCGGGGGGCTGTGCAGCCGTGCAGCTCCCAGCACCTCGGTGGCCGCTGCGGGAAGACACGAGTGAGATCCAGCCTGTCTGCAGTGGGGCCGGGCGGGAAAGCTTTCTTTTCCTCTCTTCTCCCAGCACGTGGAGAACTCATTTTCTTCATGCACCTAACGGCTGGCTCGCACCCAGGCTCTGCCTGGGCACAAAGGCAGCTTTCATGCTGCTGATGCCCGGTTTCTCAGCTGGGATCCGTATTTTGAGAGGCTGTGGAAGATTACAGTAATTGCACTTGACAGGGCAAGATGTCACAGGACGCGGATTCGTCCGGCTGTGGGGCCCCAGCACCCATCGATCCTTGCCTGTGGCATCCTTCCTAGCTGCTGCTTTGGTGCTTTGCTGAAATAAATCCATACCCCCCAAATAAGGCAGGATTATCCCTCCGTTACCCGCCTGCTTTCTGGTTCTTGGCTGTTGTTGTGGCACTGGATTTTGCAAACTTTGCTCTTGTGAATCCCCCAGGCTGCCTGGTTGCTGCTGGAGCCCACTGTGGCCCCCAGGTGAGCCCAGGTTACCTGGAGCTGCACCCTGAGAGACAGGGCAGGTGAGTGTTTATGTTTGCTGAAGTCTCTGGGGGATATTACACAGTGAAAACCAACCAAATAGCTGCCCGTCTCTGCAGTAATATAGCTTTTAAAATGCCAAGGCACAAAACCCCCTCATTTGGGGGTTGCTGTCCCTTCACTCACCACCCTTGTTAAAAAAATAGGCAAGTTAATTTTGATTCCTCAAGCCATATTTATAGCCCTGCCTCCAAATTCAGGACTTTTGAAAAGGTCAGATTTATTTCTTGGGACATGGTGACTTCTACAGGAATGGTTCTTCAAAACACTGATTATTAAGGTCCCTGCACTGGAGCTGCACTTTCAGCTGTTCTTATTTATTGAAAGTAGTGGTGTAACCACTCAGTGGTAGACTCAGAGCTGGTTTTAACCATCTGTAGTGAGCTTAAAAAGAAATTTCCTTTATTTTGGCTTTCAACCAGATTTCTAATGTGCATTGCATGGGGCTAGGAAGAGCTTCCTGCAGCTGAAAGGGGCTGGTTGTTTTCTGGGCTGTAGCTGATGCTGTGCACTGGTTTACCCCATGCAGCCACCTTTCCAGCTCTTAGGCTGTTTTCAGTTTGGCTTAGGAGAGAATCTAGATCCTTTGAGGGGGCTTAAAATAGTTGGCATATTTACGCTGGCAGAGCAGTAGGGCTGTGTGATGTGAGGGCTGTTGTGTCTGTTGTGTTATTTCTCACTGCTGCCACGGGTAGGGATGATTCAGTGTTTGGGATTAACCGCTGCTGTTGCGGCAGATTTAGGGATCGATTTATGGCACAGGCTTCCCTCGGTGTGGTCAGGTGTGCTTTAAAAGTGTGGGTGGATAAGCTGGGATAAAGTACTGCAGCTATTGGGGAGTTCCTCCAAGGTGGCTGGTTGGGGGTTTGGTTTCAGTTTTGCCTTTTGGGAGTTCTTACAGGCGTTATGAAATTTATTTCAGAGTTTTTCCTTGTTTAGGGAAAAACAGTTGCCTTGATGGGTGTGCTGGATTTTGGATCCAAGTTTTCATCCCTAAAGTGGGATGGCACAGGGCAGACTGCATCTCTTCCTGACCTTATCCTGCCAATGCTCCCCTGGGGTGACCTGTGGGCTCAGATGACCGATGTGACCTGCCTGTAGAAGCTCTGCTGGGGCAGACCCTGCCATGAGAGGCAGAAAAGGCTGTCCTGGGTTGCCTTGGGTTACCCTGCACAGCTCCAAGCTCTCCAGCAGAAATGTTCCACCCTCATGTTCTGCAAAAATGCGAGTCTGCTTTAAAAAAATGGAGAAAACCCAGACGGAATCATAGGAAATTAAAGTCTGTGTATGATGCAAATTTGTCCCTGCCCATGATGACAGATAAGGCCGGGCCGTCGCTCAGGCAGCTTATCTGATCTCAGCCCTGTTCAGTCTCAGGGAGGGTTTGGGTGCAGCTGGTGCTTGGGAGAATGGACCCAGACATGAGCGGGGAGCAGAAGCAGCCCCAGAACCTCTTCAACGTTGGGCAGCAGCATGGGAACCACCCTGGAGGGAGTTTTGTAGGCTCTGCTGGCCGTCGTTGGGCAGATCTCTTCTCTCCCGGTGGTGTCAGCCAGCCCCTTGTCCGGGTGCAGCTCCCGGAGCAAAGCGAGTGTGCGGGTGCTGAAGCAAGACACCAGTCCGGGTGGGCTGGATCGCTCCAGGCTGATGCTGGGTCCTGCTCTCACGGTAAAAGGCTCCCACCTATTGGTTGTGCTGCACAACTTCAGCCGAAAAGTTATTTCTCTGCCTGAGAAACTTGCACATCCATCCCTCCATCTTTGCTGGGCAAAGTCCGGTTGGCACTTTGCTGGTGTTATCTTGACCTATGGGGATGTGGCACGGAGGACTTAACTTGGATTTAACCCGGGAACAATGCAGCTGGGTGGGGGAAATGCTTCAGTCTGCAAATATTAACCTGTATTACTGCAAGGCATCCCTGTGGTCATCTGTGGGAGACAGTAGGGTTTGGTAGGAGAACTGGAGGAGAAACCACCAAAGCCTGAGCATCCCCAGGGATAACTTTGCCATGTGGGGAGGGGGAACATGTGTGTGCAGTGCCATGGGATGGGTGATGGTGATGCCTGACTGGTGGCAGGGGATATGGCATGCTGTGCCCACAAGGAAAAGTCTGGATTATGCTTGAAAATAGAAGGGAGCAGGTAGTGGTTTGTAATTAGATATCTTATTTAAGAAGTCTGAAGAACATTCTGCAAAGTTTTTGGTTTAAAGACAGAAAAATAAAATGCCCCAAGTCGACCCACAAATGAGGACAGTTCAGCTCAAATCTGGCACGGCCTTTGCTCAGGCTCTGTGGGCACCTGTTCAGCTCTTCTCCAAGCCCTGCACAGCCCCTACTGTGAAATGGCAGGTCCCTGGGCTTGGCAGCCACTGCTGGGCTGTGTGATCAGGCGTTGGGAGGGCTGGGGTCAGTGTGATGGGGCTGGTGTCCCCTGCATGACTGCTCTTGCCTCCATAGCAGGCTGGGGCTTGTTGCTAATCCATCTTCCTGGGAGCACATCCCTCCATCTCCAGCAGCTCAGGCCAGCCGTCATATTTATTTGTTTCCTTATCATTTTTTATGTGCTGCAGGAAAAAAAAGGGAGAGAGAGAGAGAATGAACAAAGAGGTTGGTGGCACAGTGACACGGCTTGCAGCTTGGCTTGATGTGGGGGAGAACAGCACTGGTCTGTGTCTTCTGCAGAGAGGTAGGTGAGATGTGGCTCAGGAGGTGCTACAAAGAGGATGGAAGTCTCTGGATGTGGTGGCAGGGGAGGGCCACAGACCTGTTCAAAGGGGCTCCTGTTCCTCAGTCCTTTTGCTCCCAAGAAGACCCAATTATCCCGGAAGCCGAGGTTGTTCACGTGGCTACTGCCCAGCTTCACAAACTGTGCCCGTACTTTGTCATTCATTCTAGAAGAGGATAAGAAAGTGTTAGTGTGGTGCCAGGGGTTTTCCCCTCCTGTCCCCTCTCTGCTGCTGGCAGCAGCACCTCCAGCTGCCCCCAGCTGATGGTTTTTGGGGAGCCAAGTGTTGCTCCTGGGGCCAAACTCACTTTGTGGAAGCATCATCGTAGCTTGCCACCAGCACAAATGTGCCGTCCTTGATCCCTCGGAGGAAGGTATCCAGTTTGTTAATGTCTATAAGAGGAAAGCATTAGGAAAAGAAAAAGGGATTTAGCAGGGAATGCAGCTGGAAGAACACCAGTTGGAAATACCCTGGCCTTGCTAGTGCCAGGCAGGTTTCAAGGTTGTGGGTCTGGGAAATGATGGGCTCCCAGATGCTGCATTCTTCATCCTGTATTCCTGCCTGGGCTGGACCCAGGGCTGGCACTTTCCTCCTGCTGGTACTGCAACTACCGGGGAAAGTTGTGTCTAAAGTTTTCTCCCTAACTGTGAAATCTTGTTACATGAATTTACTTCCCAACACTAGAAAGCATGCTCAACTGCAGAGCTGCCTGCCCTGCGATCCTGCCTTCTGCTGTGTTGTGGGAATTACTCCTCATTCCGCATCCGTAGGATGCTCGAGTCCAATGCCCCATCTAGTGGCGTAGGAACCAACTGCGGTTTCCTCCTGGTACCTCTCCCATCTCCTGTCTCGCTCACAAACTCTGCCTGTACTCTAATGATATTGGTATTTCTCCTTGAAGTTCCAGCCCGAACAGGCTGCAAAACCAAATTGCAGAAAGGGAGATGGATCCCTGGAAAGGCTCTAACAGCAAAGGGTAAATCAAAAGCACTGTAGAGGTGGTTTTAGCACATGATTTTGAGGTCTCCCACTGAAATTCTGGAGAGATTTGGGATCACCTTTGCAACAACAATGGGATTTAAAGTATCCTGCAAGTCAGTGCCAGCCAGATTTTGAGGGGGTGCTGCCAAAGCTTGGGGCATCTTCTTGATATTAGATTGTTAGAAGCTGTCAAGGGCAGGGTTGTGGTCTTTTCTGCCACCAGACTCTGCTCCGTGTCCCACCTTGCTGGGACCGGAGGCAACATCTTGCCTCTCACGCCCCAAGCTCATTTTTTGTGCTGCAAAAGGCAGGGAAACAACTTGCTGCTCAGCCACAACCAGCATTCAAAAAAACAGAGTTGAAACTTGCACATTCTCAAGATGAGTGTAACTAGCTGATCTCAGAAAGTAGCTTCTCTCAGGTCTCAAGTGCCCTGGTTTATTCAGACTGGTTTATTCAGTCAGGCTATTACATGCATGTAAAAATAAAAGAAGCCAACTTTGGATGTGGGTGCATTAGGAGGACTCCAGGCTCAATGGCTTCAGGGAAAGCTGGGCTTTCCCTGCCTAAGCTGGCTATCCTGATCAAAGTCCAGTAGCCTTTATCACCAAACACATGCCAGGAGAGCAGCCAGCAGCCCTGGTGTGAGCCCTGCCAGGCAGCAGAGCCACCGCGCTTACCTCCGGAGTACGTGTCGAACGTGTTCTCCTTCAGGAGCTGCCCACTTGTTCCTGAGAGGTTAAAATGCAAAATAGAGCAGAGTGAGTTTGTGCTGGGGTGGTTCTAGGCTTTGCCTGGCCACCAGCCTGGGGTTCCTGCTGCACAGTGCTTTGCTCTCCCCTCAGTGTGTCGTATTCGCTGCAAAGGTGGATGTGGTGTTGGTGGAGTTCACGGAGCCAACATGCACAACCCAACCGAGCTTGTTCCCATCTCCCTGGCAGTGCTGGCAGCCACAATCATGGTTGTTGACCCCATCTGACACCCAGCTGATGTGCTCTTGGCTCAGCCAGTGCCTGGGGTGGGGTCCCTGGTGACCTGTTCCCTCCTTGGGGAGGAAGGGCCTCTGGCTGTGGGGAGAGGGGGGTTAGAGCCCACCCTACTCACCATTCACCAGTGCGATGTTCAGGCCTCTGCCGATGTTGTTTTTCACACTGCTCATGAGGCTGGAAGGGAAAGCAGAGAGCACCAGTAAGTGCAGGGATGCCCTGGAGGTGCTGGTACCAGTGAAACTGTGATGGGGCAAAGTGGTGGGAGATAGCAAAACATACCCAGAAGTGGTAGAAAAAAAACCCCTATTTTCACTATTTTTTAAACTACAGACACACTGTGATGGCCATCGATGTGCTTGGCAGAGGCTAAACTGGCCCTGTTCAAGCCCAGGCCAGCCAGGGCTGCCCCTCCCTGCCAGCTGCTGCTTACATCACGCCATCGAAGCACAGGGTGGGTCCCACCACATTTGCAGCGCCGCTGATGATCTTGAAGGCAAAATGGTTCTGGGGGCAGCTCTGCTTGTTCCCACACTTGTGCTTGGGTAGCTGTTCACCTGTGAGGGATGAGAGGAGCTAGAAGCCATGGCATTGTCCCCACAGGGGGACACTGGCTGTGTCCCTGAGGACCTGACCAGGGTTGGTACTGGAGCACAGGGGGCAACTCCTGTACCAGCTTCTTGCATGGAAGAGGCTTTTCCTGGGGCTGGGACCAGCTTCTTGTTTGAGGTTTATGGTGCAGAGGCTTGGGGTGGGGTGGGACAAGCTGGGTGAGGTGCCTCTCTGGGTGTGAGCAGTAGGATGGCCCAGCTGATGCCATGGGGATTGCAGAGGAGGGTGTGCTGGGGAACATTTGGAGCTGGTGCTTGTTCAAGGCACCCTTGGGGTGTCTCTGCCCAGAGTTTCCCCATTCTTGGCCAGGCTAGGGACTTGCACCACACTGCCCAGATGGGGCTGTGATGTGCTTCTGCTGGGGCAAGGGGATCACAGAGAGGTTCATGTTCTTGCAGAGCCCACCAAAGGTGCTGCTGCTGTGCAGAACAAAATTCCTCTGTGTTTGGGTGGGTGGGATTTTTTCCTTGGGAAAAGGGGTCTTGAGGGCAGCTATCACACTTCCAACATCACCCTCAGCCCTGGAGTGGTGTTTTGTGATGCAGATGAAGTTGGGAGTGGTACTCACTGCTGGGCTTCTTGGTGGAACCTGTGGGTATCAAGCAGGAGGGTTAGACATCCTGAGAGCTGCTGGCTCTTCCCCAAACCAGGAGCAGCCACCCAGTCACCATCTCCCAAAAACTGCTCCCCATGGCTGCAAGAACCACTGGAGTCACCCACCCATGCAGCCATATGCTGTCCCCTCCCTTCCCTGATGGTCAGAGCTGGTGGCTATAACCTTAGCAAGGGACAGCAAGTGCAAATGATGGCAGCCACACACAGCTATGGGGTCTGGTTCATGGTGGGGCTGCCAAACCCTCCCTCTGGCCTTGTCTGGAGCCCCAGTGGCACCTCACCGAGCCAGCTCCGCAGGCTGATGGTTTTCCAGTTCTGATCAAAGTAGGTCTGCAGGATGAACCAGGCGCCCAGTAGTGTGAGGAACGGTGCCACGTACCTGATGATGACTGAGGGATGGGAGAGGAGCCAGGTGAGAGCAGCAGCAGCATTGGTCAGGGACTGGACTATCCCTCTGCCTTCTTGGGACCTTGGTCCATGTATCCCAAGGTTATCAGGGACAAGGTCTGACAGCCAGTGCTTGTGTGGTGTGGGAAGGCAGCTAAAACTCCTTCATCATACTCTAAATAGACTTTAATCTCTTAATTAGTATCTCTAGAGTGTGTGGTGATGCTCAGATAGGCATTACCCTTCTATTGGGAGGCACTATTCATATTTCTCTCTGCATTAAAGTAAATCTGATAATTAGTCAGAAAGCTCTGTAAATCCAAATATTTCTTACATTCCCAGCACTGGGAAAACTGCTATCCCCCAATTAGTCACTAGCTACAGTCGAGCAGCTGCTAATACAAATGTGATTGGCATTTGGCTTTAAAGCAACGTTCATTGGAGCAAAACGTTCCAGTCCTGCATGGTAAGAGAGTAGAAAAATATACTTATATTGCAGCTGAATGGCTCTTATGGAACCAGGAACGTCTCAATAGCCATATCTTCCCTGCCACAGAAGGTTTCACTGGGGAAAATACAACAGGCTGAAACCCACACAAATCTTTCAAAACCCTTTCCTGTAGCCTTGGCAGGGGAAGGTCAGGATCACTGAGCTTGGAAAGCGTCATGTAGATGAGAAAGAGGCATAAAGAACTGTAGAAAATGGACAGAGAAAAGTAAATCTCTGTCTCCCTCCTTACCTGTCACCCGCATGGTGATAGAGAGAGAGAGAGAACAACCGAGGGGGTGGCAAGATGTCCCAGGTCACTCTGAGGACAAAGAAGGCAATACTGTAAAGCACACCTGTAACCCACCAAACCCAGGCAGGTTTTACGTGAAAAATTAATTGCTCTCTTTAGGCATATTTGCAATAACTAAGAGGTCACCAAAGATGTATAAATTCCTACCTGGCACATGTGCTCAGTCCCACCCTAGTGTTGCAATTTCAGCCCCTGAGCGTTGGAGTAGGCTGCATTGAATGAACTTGCTTCATTTTTAAGCCTCTGAACTCTTCACTGGGACTGTCCTGTGCACTCCTGGTTCACATTCTTTTCTCAGTAATAGATCACCCTTTTCTACTCTGCCGATAGCGATGAGCTCAAGGAGGAGCTTCAATCACAGCTTTGCTGTCTTTCCTTCTGGGATGATGCAAAGTGGGTTTCAAATATTAGGCACTGCAAAATGCTGTTTGAGGGCAAGCTACAATTTGGCCTTGCCCAGTCAGAGACGTTTGTGGGAACGAGCCTGTCCTCCTTAAAACCAGAAAGGGAGGGAAGAAGGGCAGTGCTGCTGAGCGGGGCAGAGCAGCCAGGTTTTGGGATGCCTGACTTAAGAACAGAAATGTTTCCACTTGTCTAAATCCTTCAGTGTCTTTACCCACACAAACAGGGAGTGGTTGTGATTTGGAGCATGAACTATTTGGTACCTGAGTCCATTTGCCCTCCTCCCTCTCACTGCCATCCTGATGGATGGGCTGGAACACCTGCCACTCCACTTACTGTGCTCCCAGGGATGGGGAACTGTTCCTACCTTTGAAATTCAGAGATGCAGCCTGGTGAATGTCCGTCCTGGAAACCACCCTGGAGTCCTAAGGGAAATTGTCACCTGTGAGATGTCTGCTCAGAGCTAAAGAGTTTAATGGTAACTGAAGCAGCCCTTTAGTGAAGCATAGAAAATCTGTAGAAGAGATATGCTGAGAGTTGCTTTTCCTGTTTGAAGGGTAAATAAGGAGTAACAGGTTGTAGCAGGGTTGGGCTGAAAGTAGTTTTCAGGCTGCTGCGTCATGAGGAAGGAGAGAAGAGGTTTGTCTCCTGCCCAGCCCCCTCTGGGTTCCCTCCGAGGGCTTGAATTCCTGTGGCCACATGACTGACCATGGCTGTGGTGCAGTGTCCTCCCTTGGCCCCCTGGGTGGGATGGACCTGGCATCCCCCCTTGCCAACAGGGTGGACCCAGCATCCCCCCTCAGTGTCCTGGTGGGATGGTCCCATGGGCTCTGCCCTGGGGTGGGCTGCAGCAGCACCCTAAGAGACTTTTAGGCAGCCTTTAAAACAAGGAGAAAAGAAGCCTCCCTGCAGTGCAGGAGGGAAGCTGCTGCTTTCCTGCTTGGCCTATGAGCCTGGAGGGAGTTTGCAGTGTGCCAGGATGGCTGGTGCCCTGCCAGAGCAGCACCCCCACAGCAATGTGTCAGCTGTCCAAAGCCAGAACCCAACACTGCTCTCTGGGAGACCCCTTTGCTGTGCCCACGTCTGCCAGGAGGCTGTGGCAAGGAGAAGCACCTCCTATGGGAGCTAGAGGCTTCCCACAGGAGAGTGGCCTCAGGGCTTGGCTGCATTTCAAAGGAAGCTTTGGAAGGTATTTGTGTACCCTGCTATCGCAGCACGGTGGTTTTGATAGGATATCAGCTAAGCACACCTGCTTCCCAGCAGCATCTCTCTTCTCTCTGCAGCTGTTCCTCCTGGAGGAAAGTTGCCTTGAATGAGGATCTGTCTCTGCAGGAGGTGGCAAAGGGGTCCACAACACCCCCTAGTTCTTCCCTGCTTCACCTTGTCCTGTCTCATCCCAGCCCCCTGGCACTCTGTGCCTGAAATGGGTTTTAAACTCATGTTGGAGCTGACACGAAGAAGCCCATTTCACTGAGCAGGTGGAAGAGCTGCACCTGAAAATGGAGCATTTAAAGTTTTTGGAGGACAAATGCTGATGTGGCTAGATATGGCAGGACAGCACAGGACTCTTTCCTCTTGCTCCTTCCAGCATGAAGTTTTGCTTCTAAAGGCAGGGAGCCTCTTTCTTGCCTGGTTCTCCAGCCCAGTGCCTGATGAGGTGTGATGGGGGGCAGACCTCAAAATCCCCCTACTGCTTTAGGGATGTCATTTATTTGGGCTATTTATCTTCTTCTTAATCCCAGGTAACATTTATTGTACAAAGTCCCTGGGTGGTGAAATTCCTGGAACTTTATTACATTTGCAAAAGGGTAGCCTTGTTCTGGAATTTCTATTACATTATCTTTTGATTGTTTAGATTTATTTATTTTATTTTTTTTTGGCCAGGACTATGTTTGAAAAAAAGATGTTTGCATTTGGCATCTGCCAGTGAACAACTGGCAGCAGCAGGACAAAGGAAGGAACTGTGGTGAGTGATAAAGAGAGATATTTGCCTAATAAACCTGAAATATTTGCTTAAAAACTATTCCAGGAACAAGAAGGTTATTGGACAAATATTGCTAAAGAGCTCTGTAGAGTTGTAAGGCAGCAGCTCCTCCCTGAGCCTGCTCAGGACTGAAGTGCTGCTTGGCAGAGCTGAGTTATCACTGCCAAAAAGGAACAGGGGCAGATCTGCCCTGGCAGGGAGGTTTTCTAGGATGTGGCACGTGAATGTTCCTGTTTCCTCCCAGCACCATAGGAAAACTACACTTCTCTTCCTCAGAAATTTCAGGTGTTTTTTAGTTTGGGTGTTTTTCCCCTGCTTCCAAGCCTTACATGTCATTCTGTCTCCTAGCAGGAGCCTTCGTTTTGGTGCGGGATGGGGATGTGGCTCCAAAGAGGGTGGTTGCCACATGTCACCCGTGTCCACACCCAGTGATTCATTGCTCCAAAAATTAGGGTTTTCCTGTGAGCCTAAATGCAGGGGTGCAGAAGAGGGGCTGGTGTGAGGTGGATGCACATCCACTGTGTGTCCAGGGCTGGTCCCACAACAGGAGGATGGAAGATGCTGTTGATGCCGTTTCAGGTGTCAATCCTACTGAGCTCTGCTGAGCTGCCCAGCAGGAAAGCACTGTTTGCCAGAGGGCTTTTGTATCTCCACCAAACAGCTGGAGAGGGCATCTAATGGAGAAACTGCCCCCAGTACAATTGTTAACCAGGGTGAGGTCCTGATCCTGAAATAGAAGCCAGACAGGATGCATGGCAGTAGTGGGCAGGGGTGCAGGGCTGGCCCCAGGTGAAGCAGCAGAGCCCTGACTGGGAGCAGAACTGCAGCCAAAGCAGGATTTGGCACCTGGACGTGCTGCTGGGAAGCTGAGCTCTGTGGGGCTGGTGCAAGGGGCACAGGCTGGTTTTGGTGCCTGCTGCAGGTGCATTCCTACCCACTGCCTGCTATGGGGCAGGCACAGCCCCTCCTGTGCTCAGTTGCTGCTGCCATGGGAGCGTCACCCATCCACAGCTGCCACTGTTTCTGTCCCTTATTCTTTTATTTGACGTTGGCAGCTGCTTGTTCAGTTCTCTGTATGTGTCATTGAGCACGAAGCTAAATCACTATGAGCTCTCTGGTGAGGTTTCCTGGAGCAGTGAATCATGGGCTGTGGCAGCAATGAGAGATGGAGAGGGGTGATTGCATCCCCTCCAGCGCAGGAGTGGTGGATGGCAGCTTGGTGGGCATCCTGGTGCTGTGGATTGCAGGTTATACTGAAGTGGCCTGTGTCCAAGCCCCAGGGCACAAGGAAGGACCCAGGTGTTGGTGCTGAGGGCTAGCAGCAAGTTGTGTGCTGGGAAGAGGCACTTCATGGGGCTGGAAACGCAGGACAAGCGTGGGCCATATGGCAGCATCTCCTCTGGGCAGCTGCTGGGAAAGGGCTCTGGAGTTTAGTAATTGCACATCTGAGAGGACCTGAAATGTACCCTTGGCATCTAGCAAAGCCCTGGAGGCCAGCACCCAGCAGTTGGGGTGGTGTGCTGGGGCATTGCATAAACACCCTGCAGCTTCATCCAAAGCCATGATGATTGAAGGGGTTTGACCTGGACCACACATCACACCTCATATCCCATAACGGGTGGAAACACGGATTTAACCCTTGCCATTAACACAGGCAGTTCATTAATTCTGTCTGTGAAACTAGTGCCTTGCAGGAAAGATGCCAGAGCATGGGGTTTCCCCTTCACCTCCATGCTATGACAAGAAGGAACAACTAAAACCTTCCCAGTGCAACCCTCAAATCCTGCCAGCAGACAAAAGTGCTGCAGAAAGGCATTATTTCAGTTAGGCTCTAGAAACCCCGTTTCCGCGCTCAGGGAAGGGAGAAGCCTACGTACCGCTCGGTGTCCGGGTGTGCTGTCCCTCTCTGCAGGCTGCCCGTTTGCCGGGACATCCTGGGGAGCTGGGACACCATGTGCTTGGCAGTGGGGTGTTGCAGCTGCCCAGCCCAGCCCTCCGTGACTCATGGCACCTCCCCAGCCTTATCTGGGTGCCTGGCACAGGGCTGGGCGCCTGAGATGCTTAAAGGACACAGTGGCCAGCAATGATTGGGAGCAGCTGTCCTGCAGGAGGGGAAAGAAGTATTTATGCCTGTGGCCATGAGCTCTTTGGAAGTTCCCTCCACTTTGGCACTTGCTTTTTCCCTGTATCAGAAGAGGAAAACCTCTCTCAGGGTGGGCATCAGCCTGGCACTTGCACTAAACCAGCACATGGTGGCTGGCAGAGGGTAAGGGTGGGCAAGGAGCCGGGACTAGTGACCCCTCACATAGCACAAATCCTGAAGAACACAAACCATTGGGTTTTCCCCCTGGCTGTGCTGCACTTGTGTGGGCTGGCCCAGGCAGCCACTTTGCTGCCTCTCATTTGCAGGAGGCTGAAGGTTCCCTTTTCAAAGAAGCATTTATTTATCCAGCAATAGTCCTGAGCTCTGAAGGGGTCCTGAGTTAACTGTAGATACAGATTTAGGCCATTTTCTTTTTAATCATTTATTGTTATTATTATGTTTCTGAAAGAAGAAATCACTCCTT